TATATATATATATATATATATATATATATATATTTAAATATATTTATACTATAATATATGTATAAATATATATATATTTTTTATCTCTTATCATCTTCATTATTTCAAGCTTGTATGAATCTACTGTGTGATAGACGTATTCCAAAATTTCAATTGCTCTATTCTACTCTTCTCTCTCTCTCTCTTTCTCACCTGACACTTTACGTTGGCCCTGCTACAAGGACAGCTCTCGGGATCGCAGTATCCCTTGCAGCCGCATCCGCAGTGTTCCCTGCTGGCGCGGATATCGCGGCATTCGTCCTTCTCGACCCCGTCTATCCTCCGGACTCCGGCGGCCCGGAGAAGTGCCCGGCGCTGCCACGTGGGCACCGGCTGCAGGAAGTAATAACTGTCGATGTCGAGCTCCTCGTTGTCGCTCGGCTCCTCGTCGGTGTCGTCGCTCGGGTCCTCCGAGCTCGACGCCGTCTCGGTCACGCAATTGGTCGCGCAATTGCGCTCGGAGCGCAACTGCGCTAGTCGCGCGCGGTGAATCCGCCTCTGCTCGGCTGCGTGCTCCGACAACGAAAACCTCTCCGCGTGCGTGTGCGTCGCGTTCATGCCCAGAGTGCTGCCGCCCTATAACCGGGAGGATCGATCTCTCGCGTCTCTTTTGCATAAATCCGCACAAACACCATGAGTATATTTACGTATTCAATGATCGGAATTGAGCTTTCGAAACACAAACAGTAAGAGAACAACAAGCGTATATTGATAATAACGTATATCGATGATAAAAAAAGGACTCTTTGTCATCCTATTTTTATAAACTTCAAACTTGTATGAATTTACAAATCGAAATAATAATAGACATAATAATAATAATAAAATATAATAGTGATACAAATAAATAAAAATAAGCTCAGCAATAAAATATGAATGATATTACGCTATTATCGTCAGATCGGTAAACAAAATTTGTTCATTTCTTTCCCTACTGGCTGAAACCTTACGTGGAACTAATAAGTAACGTTATATCACGATGCCATAGAATTTTATTGTAAAGTAATGGCACACAAAAGGAAAAGGGAATCGACGGTGTCTTATACAAATTTGATAGCGAATATTATCGTGGTATTATCGAATGGTATTATAAATGACGCAAGGTAGAGAGGGAGGAATTGAAAGAGGAGTTGTCTCGCGTGAACGCGATTGAAAGAAAGAAGGATTGATCGTATCTTTATATACATATAAAATCGATCGCGCTCACATACTCACGAGGTGGTTTTACAAATGACGGCAAGATTTTCCGTCATATAAATAACTTTGGACGCTTGTTAGTCATTCTCTCCCGGTCCGTATAAATAAAATCTTGATATCGGCAGACATAGTGAAATAAAAAAATATCTCTTGCCTCGATGATTTATGCGCGATTATATAATATAAAGGAAAAGAGAAAATGGTGAAAAAGTAAATAAACAATAATAAATAATTAATATGTGAGAAGACAATTAGAAGCTTTATAACGAGCAATGCACGAAGCGTATTGATTGCAAAGTGAACGATAGCGACTAAACAGACAAATGAATACATTTTCCATATTCATACTCTACCGGAACAATAGAATTGAATTGGAATAAAAAAATATACGAAATTAAATATGCGGCATTCAACGAACCATTTTTTGCAAGTGTAGCGAGGCAGTCAGACTATAGACATAAAGGAAAGACATATCGCGAAATGTTAGCACAAACGTTGTCCGCGAGCTGAAAGGGCCAGACGGGAAGGAGGGACCTAATTTTCGGACTTACCTGGGAAGGTACGCAGGTGAAGCCCTGCGCCCTGGAGAAGTAATAAACCGTCACCGCGTCGAAGTGGATGTTGCGCTTCTTCTTCAGGGGCTCGTCGACGTTGCCCCGCGACTCGTCGCTCTCCATGCAGTCGGTCAATCTGCGCTTCAGGTTGCTCTTGGCCGGAAGCGCTCGGAAGCTCGTCAGGGGCAGCTGGCCCGGCGTCCCAGACGTCCCCGAGGACGCCGCGTAGGCCTCCAACTGATTTACGCCTGAAAGACACGAGATAACAAATCTTTAACGAAAAGGCACGTATATAAGACGCTTTTTCTCGAGTTTCACAGGAACCGCGAAGACGATCTTAAGATTCCGGCACATTTCGACGACTTATCGAGAAAGAAAACTTGTGAAATTTTTTTTGCGAAAATTGAAGTCGATATCTGTTAGCGAGAGATTCGGGGGAAAGTAACGGTTTTTTTTTTCATCAAAGGGGAAGAGTCCCTCGTGGCGACGGGGAAATTCCTTTTCGTCGATAAACAACAAAATTCCTTATTCGTCCTTCAAAGCAGGTTTTACCGCGACGAGATATTAATTCGAGGGTTAGGCGTTGAGATAGAAGTCGACTGATTGACATTTTCGCCGTGAAAAGTGTTTTCTTTTTCATCAAAGAGGAAGAGTCCTTCGTGGCGAGGGGAAATTTTCTTTTCGTCGATAAATAACAAAATTCCTTATTCGTCCTTCGAAGCAGGTTTTACCGCGACGAGATATTAATTCGAGGCTTAGGCGTTGAGATAGAAGTCGACTGGTTGACATTTTCGCCGTGAAAAGTTCACTCTGATTTTTATCGGGTAAAGCAACGCTTTCCGCTTGTTCTGGGACACCCGGTGTATCGCGCGTTGACAATCGATGCGAGGCTTATCGAGTTGCGCTCTGCTCGCTCGCTCGTTGGACAGCTTCGACCAGTAAACGCGAGACTGGATTGGTAAGGGGAATCCTTGCGGAGTCTAAATATTTCGCGTTTTATAAGAATAAAAGAAATCTTTAAGCCGGTTGTCTAATTTAGGATGATTATCTTTAGAATTTTACACTTAATACCAATCTCTTTATTAAAAGATCGCATTAAAGCAGCTTTTACCAAGAGCTTTTGTACAAGGTGAAGTGATAAGACAATCCTCATACAGATAACAATTTAAACATCAAATAATTAAAATGTTAAATAACATATTAGTCCAGAAATTGAATATAAAGTAGAATAGATGTACAGCGTTTCGTAACACTGATGGAAAAAGTAGGATATAAAATGAAAAATAAAATGGAATGATTTTCAAGTCAAAAGTTACCATCGTTATCGTAAACAACAATACGTGCATTATTATAAAAATCTACTAAAATCTGCTTAAAAACGGTTAAAAATTACATTTCGAGTTCAACGATTAATTCGATTCGAATTCATTTCCCTTTATTCTCGATATTTTTAACATCACATAATTAAAATGTTAAATAACACATTAGTTCAAAAATGGAATATAAAGTAGAATAGATGTACAGCGTTTCGTAACACTGATGGAAAAAGTAGAATATAAAATGAAAAATAGAATGGAATTATTTTCAAGTAAAGAGTTTCCATCGTTATCGTAAACAACAATACGTGCATTATTATAAAAATCCACTAAAATCTGCTTAGAAACGGTTAAAAATTACATTTCGAGTTCAATGATTAATTCGATTCGAATTCATTTCCCTTTATTCTCGATCACATAATTAAAATGTTAAATAACACATGGTCCAGAAATTGAACATAAAGTAGGATAGATGTACAACGTCTCGTAACACTGATAGCAGAATCGATAAACTCCAAGTTTCAATAGACGCATCAAAATGACTCGCAACCAGAAACTTCATGACAATTCTACACTTTCATCGAAGTCACTACATAGAGAAAGAAGACTTCAGATTTTTACAAGTATTTTGAAAGATAAAGTGCTTCTTACCTTTCTCCTTGTCAGAGAGGATGTCGTCCGGGAGTCTATCGAGGAAGGAAGTCTCCGAGTCGCTTTCCGGCGCAGGTGCCGGTCCCGAGTCACCGGGGATCTCGTTCCCCAGTCCGGAGTCGCTCCCATCAGATCTGACCTCGTCCCTGGCGCCGGTCGCCAAGGCCAGGCTCTCGGCGGAGTCCTCGGTGTACGCTTCTGGCCGGTCGGCCTCCAATCTCGTCATGATTGGCGCCATCGCCTCCACGCAGCACAGAGCGACCCCCTCGGAGCAGGGTAGCTGATCGGGCGCCATGTCGACGTCGCGCAACTCGTGGCGGATGCTCGCGATGGGCGACACCTCCGAACTGTCGGAGGCGGTCTCCGTTTCCGTCTCGGTGTCGACGCCCTCGGCAATGTCCACGGATACCTCCGGCGTTTCCTCCGGCGAGCTCGGCATTGTCTCCGACGAATCGAGCTCGTTGGACACGCGGCTGTCCTCAGCCGAGCTCGCCAAGACCACCTCCTCGTCCTCCTCGAGCTTGCCGATCACCGCGACGGGCGCGGACCCGTCATCCTTCTCGAGCTCCCTCGAGGTTTCGCTCTCCTCGGCGTTCTCCGATCGCGATACATGCCCCGTGACCCCGTCGCCGATTCGCTCCAGCATCACCTTGCACTTCTTCAAGATCATTCCATTGTCCGGAGTACGAAGTCCATCCTCCGTCAACTCGTACTTCTTTGATCTGGTCATCGGAGACGAGCCGCTCTGCCACCGTTGCTTCTTTAGGCCCTTCTCCTGAACCTCCGTAATTTCTGCGACCGAGTCGCGCTTCTCGTCGACGGAATCTTTTCTTTCACCGGAGAAAGGCGAACTCTCGTCGACGACGTAGTCCCATATGTTCTCGCTCGTGTTTATCAAAACATTATTCTTCTTTACATCCTCGACGCGATTCAGGACAACGGATAGATTTCGACAAATAGGACTTGACGGTGTCGTCGCAAAACCAGTCGTCGTTTCGCACTTTTTGGTCGAAATGCAAAACTCGCTTCCAGCTACGTTCGTGGCTAAATTTGTGTCTTTGACGTCGTCTTGACGCGACTCCGTCGTCCCGTCCGGGCTGTCGCTTCTCGAGAATATCGAAGAAGTCGCGTTGATGCCGAGCGTCGTAATTTCCCCCTCGCTGTCGTAATCCATCTTTCTGCTCGCACAGTTTAACGTGTCCTCGACGCTGTCGAGGACGCTGCTCGTGCACTCTGAAGGACCTGCGCCGATCTTGCCGATCACTTCTCTCCCCTCCTCCTCGTTCACTTCCTTTCCGTGATTCTGATCGACGTCCTGAATCTGGGAATCGTTCGCCACGAACGATCCCGCCGGAACGTCGTTACACCTCGGTGTTACCCTACCGTCAAGCTCGTCCCCGAAAAGACAGGAGGACTCCGAGGTCAGGGACACCTCGCCTAGAGTCCTCTCCCGCAGGCTCACCAACACCGGCGACAGCCTCCTGACATCATTCCTAAGCTGGGTCGCCTGCTCCTCCGAGATCTCGATACCGATCCTCTTGATCTCGGCGCCGATCGGCAGGAAGTCACCCGCGGCCGGCCTCTTTCTGGAGACATCCGGCGACTTGGACCTCTCGATCCCATTCTCCCACACCTCCGAGCATTCTCCGACGTCGCGATCTTGCGGCTCGGACGTTCTCGGCGAGCCGTCAAGTTCCCGAAGAGTATTTTCCGTCGATTTTGCGTCGATCTCGTCCTTTTCGTTTCTCTCATCCTCGTCGGCTTTCTTTCCTATCGTTAGACCCATATTCGCTTCTTTTTCTTCTTTTTCCTCTCCTGCTTGATCCTCTTCCGGCTTATCACTGGATTGCCTCGCTTCGGATACTTCGTTCTCTGGTCTCTCGTCTGATGTCTCGCACACCATCACCAAGTCCTCGCGCGAGTCCTGCATGACGGATGGACGCGCCGCGTAATCGTCATCGTCGTCGGCGTCCGTTATTGCTATCGTTATCGTTGGTGTTGTCGTCCCGCCTGGCGACGGTGCGCCTTCCGCCACGGCCTCCACTGAGGTGGAATCCTCTTGGGCCTCAACGAAACAGTCCTGACGGGCCGAAGGTGATTCCATCTCGGGTTTTTCTGCAAGAACCAAGTTTAATTGAAAATTAAAAGACAGTTGTACATTCTTAACGAAGGAATAATCGATTAGGGGTTTTCTGTGGCATTAAGGACGACGGTAAAATTATCGATGAGTTGCAGTGGTCCATATATATCTCGCAAATAACAAAGGTTATTAAAACAAAATGTTAAAGTCATGTAAGTCTTACGATGAAATAAAAAAATAATTAATTTTTATGTATAATGTATAAAAATAATTATATACATTATATTATATTATATTGTATATTTATCCATATTTCTATACAAATAAACATATCTTTATAGTGCTGCTAGGGAAGATATACACAGATATTATTCGAAAATATGTATCAAATCAAACTATTAAACAAAATATAAATATTCGAATTCCGCGAAAACAAAATAAAAACACTGAGACAGAGATTTATATACAGATCAGGGTGGAATTACACGATCGGGCAGAGTAAAATGGAAAGATATCGAAATGACCAACGTAGAATACAGATTAATTGGGTCGTTACATTCATCGCGGGAAAATGACTTTTGGCCCACCCTCTCCCTAGATGATTTTACCGGTATTATAATCAACGATCATTGTGCTCTACCTTTTTCACGAAAATAACATAAGCAAACCGGGGAGAGAACGGGGAAATCAATAATCCGCGCACTGATATCGCGCGCACCGTTGCTAAACCCAGAAGAGAATAAGAGCGAGCAAGCGAGCGAATGAGCGAGAGAGATGGGAGGGAAATAGAGAGAAAACATCGATGCGGGAAGGAAAATCAATTTCCTGGAGCCTAGCGCAATCTCTACCCGAAACCCTTTCGATACATTTTCCTTATCGTCCTCGAATACAAGATACACCGTGATCAGGGGCCTACATATAATCTTGGCCGGAGATTATTGATTCAAAGCGATGGTGAAAGGGGGGACGAATGGGGGGCGATAAGGAGCACCTCCGTTCGCGTCGTGTGGACAAGTACTATGCGCGCGAATTACTCTCGGGGACCCTAAAGCCGTCAGCAGGGACCCCCCCCCCCCCGGATCGTAAAGAGGGGGAAGCTCTTTTACCTTGAAGTCGCGCAATCCTTCCTTCAGCTTGGTCCAGTTCTGTGCCCCTCGATTGCGGCGCGAGGGTTCGCGATATGAGCAGCCCCGCGGTCCCTTTCTCTTTTTCTCTCTGGGGGGAGAAGATCGTCTTAAGTTGTCTCGCGACTCCGGTTACTACCGTCGTTCCGTTCGCGAGGGCCCGCGAGATGTTGATGGTGCGGTCCCATTGCAGGACCAGACGCGTCCTCGTCCGAGGGGGATGACGAGTGGCTCGGGCACAACATTCGCGATTGGCGAAATAATCCGGGGACACGAGCGGAGATGAGAGGAGGTCTACCGGCTACTCGCCGGCACTCTCATGGGAAACAAAACGCGCGAGATTCACCTCTGGAGATTCATCCGACCGCGCAGCCGGGGATTCCCGAGATGTCCGGGAGTCCCGAGAGGAATCGACGGATCGTCGAAAAAACTGACGGAGGAGTAACTCGAAGTGAACCAACGTGAACGTGAAGAGGAGACGGTCGGAGTTAGCTCATCTAGCGAAGAATCCCGGTCTGCGACGCGGAAGAAGAACGTTTGAATCAAATAAGTAACTGACGTCCTTTTTGAAAATGACGAACGTCGATGATAACGTGAAAGCGCGACGATGACGACGACGAGGACGATGTGTTAAAAGGGAGGACGAAGGGGGACCGAGTTAGCGACGTAGCGTGGAGAACGACGGAGGTGGTGCGGCGCGTTCGACAGCTCGGAGCAGAGTGAGCGGAGGCGGCGTCAGCGTCGCCGCTCTCGGCGTCATCGACGACGCCGACGTCGACGCCGACGCCGACGCCGACGTCGCGCTCTCGGATCCCCTCGGCTCGGCTCGACCCGGCTCGGATGGAAGACACGCCGAGGACGTGTGTTGGTGAATGCGTAATAGAGTGGTGCACACGGGACGCGCGCCGGCCGCGCCGCGGAGGAGCGCAGCGGTTCTCAAAGAGCACACCCGGTAGAGCGGATTAGTCATCGACGGTATCGGGCCGATCTTTCTCATCGCTCTTTTTTCGTTGTATTTTTAATTTCGTCGAATGGCGCGTGGCGACGCGTAAATTCTCTCTCTTTTTTTTATTATTCCGGCGAAGCAAAACAAATCGTGCGGTTTCGTTCTAACGAGATTCTGAAGTTCGCGCCGCGTTGCGAAAAAGATCGCCGAGTTAAAGGATAAAACAGAAGTGACGTAATCAAGACGGCGCAGCTGGCGAAGGAGGCTCTCAAACAAAGGTCACTCGAGAAAATGCGGGATAAATTGATATTTGACGCTTTGTTGCAAACAAATTATTATTTTTTTAATGTTCTGCGCGATATCTTGAACCGTTGCTTTTTCTTATATTGCATTAAATATGCAGTTGCACTTCGTTCTTCGATGCTACGTCGAGTAGAAATAAAAATCCGAATTGCATTCTTTCCGGCTGCAGTTTCGACTGTACAATGTGAATAGACTGTTCTATAATATAACGATGATGCATTCATTTGCCGTAGTCTAATTATGCCAATGATGAACGCGGCGCATCGACGAGGAGAAGCAAAGTTTACTCGCGAAGAAGTCGCGTGGAGCATTACTCGTGCATGATGATCCGTTAATTGCGTGAGAAAATGATCCCGTTCGTGAACTATATACTGAGAGCATAATCTGTCTGTATTAAATTAAATGAAGTCATCATGCAAAATAACTCAAAATAAAGGAAAAGATGTAAACCCATCGCGCGATTATATCCGGCAATTAAATACTTCGAATAAATAAACGGTATATATAATTATACTGTGTAAAGAATGCTTCCTAAAAACTTTTCGCTTTGTAATTTTTATAATATCTCTTTAAAAGAAGAAAAATATTTGCGGTTTTTTTGTATCAAATTTAAATGAAATAAAATAAATATTTTGATTAAACGTTTGTAGGGTACGGGTTATATCAAAAAAGCCGAATTATTATACAAACAATGTATAAATGATAAATTAAAAAGCCTAATCCCAGTCGGTACGGTCCGCAAATATTTGCCTGGCAGAATTTATTTCAAATTTTCATGGTTTTTCGTGATTATTTCGCGGTATTTTTTCAATTCCCAATTCGGCAACGCGAATCGAGAACGAGTGCCGCAACGGCGGACATGGGAAAACGAAGGACGGAGCGAGATGCACACACAAAGTACGCGGCGACGGTGATGCACAATAATAACAAAATCGACTGACGTAAGCGAGACGAGTACGGTGATGCAAGCGTGCAAGCGTGCACGATGAACAACGCCGTTTCCTTGCCGATATACGCGTGGCGCGATCTCGCCGAAGGAGACTCGCCGGATCCCAAGATGCCTCCTTCGACGAACGTTCTCCATCGAGGTCAGCTCCTCAAAGCCGTCCGTGGTTCTCGCAGTCCTGTCTCCCCCTTCGCAGAGGAACTTTGCGCAGGATTATCGCGAGGGGCTTTGCGGTCAGCTGGATTCGCGAATTTCGCGATCGCGATCGATTTCTACCGCGCTCCTCGGGATAACGACTGTACTAGAGGGAGGACGTTCAGAGGACAGGAAGACATTCCCGGGACATTCGCCAGAGATCGACTTGCACCTAAATGAGGAATAACGCCTCGTTTTGAATACAAGTCGGTATATACGCTCTGGTATTCTACTACCAGTTTACTATTCGTCGCTTCGAAAATATGCAGGATAGTGGATACGAGGTCCGATGGGGATAGCGTTGGTACCGGAATCGGCGCGCGGTATAGCGTCCAGCGATTGTTGCCTATCTCTGGTTCTCCCTCGCTCTCTCTACCTTTCTCTCTCCTCCCTTCGCCCCCTCCCTCTCTTCCCCCTCTCTCTCTCCCTCTCTCTCTCTCTCATCCCCTCTCTCTCCCTCTCCCTCTAATCTGTATTTTTTCCTTTCTATCTGATGCACAGCGTATATACACGTACGCGCGCGCACACGCATATGCGCGTACACACATTTGAACGGTTCTCTCTCACGGACGGTTCAACGAACGAGAGAGCGCAGCGCTTGCGCGCGGCGGGCGCCCGTAATTGTCTCTACGCTCCGCGAGAAACTAGAAGGCGAGCGGAGTCCTTCTCGTGGAATTTTAGCGGCCGAAGAGCCGGAGCTTCCTCCTCCGGAGGGGGCGCGAGCACGGCGCGCCAGGCTCCACCGGTGTGTCTCTCGTCCCCTTTCTCGTGCGACGAGACGCCGAGATTTCCGGTGTAAACGAGAGAGCCGCGCCAGTTTCGCAGGATTATTGATCGGCGTTCGCGCGAGTATTGATCCGCCTACCGTTTGGTGCAAAGTTACTCTGGATGCTAAATGCGCGTGACCGCCTAATGTTGGAATTTACTCGATTTGACTCGGGATACTCTCGAATCTGCCCGAGCGTCGAATCGGTGCGTGCGGACGCATTTTTTTTCTGGTTCGAGCACGGGGGGCCACGAGGGCCGGACCAGGCCGGACGGCGGCTGCGAAACTAGAAGCGCGAGTCTTGGAGACTCATATCTTAGACTCTCAGCAGCGGAGGATATAGGATCTTGAGAATCTTGCGGTTTTTAGCGACAATGGTTGTAACAGATATCGGGTGTAACGAGTAACGGGGAATTTTTGTACGACTATTGATCCGCCGTGAAAGTCGTTTCGCGATACACGTAGAGCTAGGTATGTAATCCGCGTCCGAATTCAATCGTCCGATACGAGCGATATTCAATTTAAGTGAGAATGGAACGGCGGTCGCGGAATTAAAAGGCGAGCCGAGTCCTCCGCCCTCTCCGCGACATTTTAAGCCTTGGGACCTCGAAGACAGCTTGTTCCGGTACTTCCGCTCTTGTTAAAGCGACAAATTTAGTATAACTAATGGCAGATAATTTGTACGATTATCAATTCGTAGTGTTCGCGTGAATATTGGTCCGCCCTCGGTGCCTCTTTGCGGCAATTTTTTAGCTAAATTCTCTAGTACTTTGGTCATCAGACGCGAAATGTAATACATAGTATAAATAATTCAAGTATTGTAATATATAATAAGATATGTAATATATAATATATAATATATAATAAGATATATAATAAGATATAATAAGATACACATGTATATATATCTATAATACATATATAATTATATATGTATATATCTACATAAACTAGAATGTCGGTCTGTATATATTCCCTGCTAACTCCTAAACCCTTTGATGGAACCGATCTGATGGAATTTTGCATAGTTACTCTCTAGATCCCCCTGCGGAAAATATAGGCTATCTGAATATCCCACCCCCTTTCCCTGATTTCATCCCCTTGATAAGTTAAGTTTAGTATATTATTACAAAGTGACACATTATATGAATTTGTAAATTATGAATTAATTTCAATATGTTTAATTTTCACATTTCCAGAAATGCTGATATAAGAAGCACGGGCAATGCCGGGTAGTTTAAGCTAGTAATATACAATAATGAAACGAGGCAACGCGACAACAGCGAGATAAAAGAACAAACGAACCCGAAACATACCCATCTTCTTGAATTTTTCCTTCCCGAGAGGCTCTCTCGAGAGCGGGCTAAGCAAACCCTCGAATAGATATAAATTTCTGTGACAATGAAAGAACCACGGGGCACGGGGAGTGCGGAAGAACCATAAAGGCCGTCCCGTAGGCGTTTTCGAGAGCAATCCGGGGCTAAATACGGAAGGACTAGTCGTCGGTAACCCGATGCTCCATCTAATTGAATTGGCGGAACGAACAGTCGCGGTGGGAAAGCTCTGGCTCTGTTTGTCTATCTCCATCTTGTAACGTCGCCTCTCGGCCGAGCTTTATTAATTGCTTTCTATTTAAAGACAATCGCTCGATTGAATCGCGCGCGATCACGATCTCCTCGCTTCGGCGCGTCGCGCGTCATCAATCTCGTCGCTAGAGCCGCTCGTAAAATCTTCTATTCCTCTCTCAATTTCTCGCCCGTCTTCGCTACAGCGAGAGTATCGGCACTGAATCGCTTGCAGCAACGACATATTGTCGCGGATAATACATCAACGAGGATTCGCATAACGTGACATAATTTAATCTACATTAACCTGTTGCCAAATAGCAATATTATTAAATTTATTATATCGAAATGTTCGTTAATTACATAGCGTGATGGCAGTACAACGACGCATTATATTATTAATAGTACATTGATTAATGTACATTAATTAATGTATATTTATTAATCTATTATTAGTAGTGGAACACTAATAGACATTTATGTAGATCGTAAATATCAACAATACTCTCCCAAGAGCATTATTTTCATTACAATTTATTAAAAATGGTGGATTTACGTATATAATAATTTAACTTGCTGTGTAAGGTTTTACAAATTATTTATATAATTCCTGAAAAACAAGTAAATAATTAATTTAGATTGTTAAGAGATACGCATCGCAGTTTAATTTTCCGAATTCAAATCACAGATATTTATTGTTTAAAATTCCGCGAAAAATTAATCGAGAAAGTATTCTTGGTCGTGTATTTGCTTGAAATTTAAGACTCTTCACTTTCGGAAGAACTTGAAACCAGTACTTTCTTCCAAACCCGTTTAAATAATTATTTTCGATCATCGTCTAATGATACACTAATGTTTACGTTGTTTGTGTTTCCCAAGATCGCCCGAAAATCGTCCGCAAGAGAAGGAAGAGGAAGAGCAGAAGGAGGAGACGGCAAAGGAACTAGACGAAGGGATGCTGAAGACCGCGGGGAGAGTG